CACACACACACACACACACACACACACACACACACACACATGCATATACACGGGGGAGGGAACGGAAAGACGTGTTTCACTGCTTTTGCACTATCATTTTGCAGGAGTTGGTGGTGGCACAGATTGAGGGTTAAAAAAACCCATAAAGTGGAGTGGACCTGCTTGAGCACAACTCCTTGTTTGTGGAATTTCCTTGCTGTGCTTGCTGCCCTGACGAGATCCCACTGCAGAGACATCCAACAAGACAGGACAAAGCACCATACCCAAAGGTCATCACCGGGAACACGCACTGTACGTGAGCGAGCACCGTGCACATATCGACATTCATTATCATCAAAAAATAATTTTGATCAGTGACAGCCACTTGTCGATTGATGACCTTTTGCGACGTAGTTCATGCAAGAGTCCACGATCTCTCTCTGTTCTGTGTAAGTTGGTTCCTTACAATGAGTCGATTCGGACGAGAAACTAAAACTACCAGTTCCATTCAGAAAAGACGGTGAACAGAAAAGAGTCAAAAGACTGAAAACAAAACATGCATGGCACAAGACATCTTCCAGCATACATAAGTGTCCGTGGCATGAGAGCATAAGCGCACGCTCTACCCTTCTCCCCTCACTGCTAAGAAAAAAGAAACTGTGGGCAGCAGGTTGTTTCCTGAGGCTACCCACCTTCTTGTTAGAAGGATGGAGCTAAAAAGCTTCTTGTTTCTCAAGCATGAACAATGAGCAGCACTAAGGATAAGAACTATTAAGAAGGTAGAAAGCCTCAGGGAAGGTGTCAAGAAACCCAATGGAAAAGGGGTCTATAGCCTTAGGGAAAAGGGGTCTATCCTTAGGGAAAAGTGGTCTATAGCCTTAGGGTTTAGGGTCCATAGACCGTAAACCCTGAACCCTAAACCCTAAACCCTAAACTCTAAAAGCATCATGTGGTGGGGACAAGGAGGAAGGAAGGGGTAGCAGACAGGGCTGTGGGACTGGGAATGGCTCCAAGAAAGGGTATGGGACAAGTTCCAGTGCTGTTTGAGGGCGAAAAGTACTAATTGAACTATGTGCGAAGACCAGGCTTCAGGGAAGGGTTGGGAAATACAAGGGGTCTATAGCCTTAGGTAAGTGGTCCATCCACCATAAAACCTGAACCCGGAACTCTAAACCCTAAACTCTAGCATCACGCGGTGGGGGACCATCAGGAGGAAGAAAGGGGTACCAGACAGGGCCGTGGGACTGGGACTGGCTCCAAGATAGGTTATGGGACAAGTACCAGTGGCCTCTAAGGGCAAAAGTCCTAATTAAAGTACGTGCTAAGACGAATGCATGGTGCACTGCATCCGTCTTGGCAGGCAGTGAAAGCCAATGACTAAAAGGCAATGCTAATCTTTTATTACAAATCAGCAATAAATAGGAAATTGTCAGAGTGAGGACGCCACCCGGGTGAACCGGGCGGGCCAAAAAAACGCCCAGAAATATATATATATATGACCAGGGTAACCGGCGTTCGGGACGGGCCGAACGCCCGAACCCGAACGCCCGAACGTATGGGACCCCTTTGGGATGCGTTCGGCCGTTCGGACCGAACGCGGACCCAAAAAAAAAAAACAAAAAAAAAAACAAGTCATCAAAAAAATCTGAAAAAACGATATGTTATGGAGAAAAATAAATTAAACAATATTTGCCTGAGCATTACATCCGAGTTCCTTACCGAATTTGAAATAAAAATAAAATACGGAAAAAAAATACTAATAATAAAAATAAATAAAAATAAAAAGAGAATTAAATTTAGTGAGTGTGCGAGCATGTTTCCGACACCGCCATCTTTGGCGATTTTTCATTGTTTTTTGGCATAGCTAAATGCCCTGAAAATTTACAGATGCGTACTTCACATAATACAAAACCCGCTAAAAAAGTTTCAAAAAATAATAAAATTGTTTAGACCCCGAACTAAAGTGAAAACAAAAAGTAAAAAGAGAAAAAATGTGTGGGCGAGCACGTTTTGACACCGCCATCTTTGGAGATTTTTAATTCTTATTTGGCTTAGCCAAATGACTTGAAAATTTTCAGGCATGTACCTCACGTCATAGAGAACTCACAGAAAAAACTTCAGAAAAAACATAATTAGTTTTAGGCCCCGAAATATTTTTTGGCGGGGGCCAAACGCCGTCGGGTTCAGAACCTGTACGGGACCCCGAACGCCCGTACGTACGGAACTGCCCGGTAAACCGTAGGCAGAGAGGGAGAAGAGGACAACAAACGAGGGGCTGTGACAAACTGTTTCGTCGGAGTTTCACCGACTCATATATATATTTTATTATTATTATTTTTTTGAAATCGGGATCGTTCTGCGCTCGGCGGGACTGCAGTAAAATTTTGGTTTTGGGGGGGGGGGGGGGGTTGGTCTGGGTGGGGGGTGCTGGGGTTGGGGGGG